GGTGGTTTACACCTACAGCTTCCTTTCTCAAAACAGAATTAGGGCTTCATACTCCAAAAGCACCTTCCCTCAACCAAGGATTTAAAAAGTGAGACCCTGATGGTTCTTAAATATTTGCAAGCACTGGATCAGAAGTATTGAGTGTATTACTATGGGGCATGGGAAAGTAAGACTGAAGCTACAAGCTGATTTGGTACTTGTAAGACTAGAGGAGTACACTAATTTAGTACAAAGCTGCAGATGCTTACCGTATTTCAGAATAACAATGTCATGAACTACCTCTGTCCTCTCAGCATGTGATCCAGATTACATAACAGTCAAAAAGAACAGACACGTAACAGAAAAAGATAAATAATAAAGTAAAAATAATTGGTATAAAATGGCATCAAGAAGAAGAAAAAAGATAAAACACTGCCGCAATGACTTTGGGTTTTAAGTGAAAAAGAGTAAATTGATGTATTTAATCTTCTGATGTAAGAGAAAAATAATGAATAAGGGTTTTTTCCCCATAAGGAAACTCAATTTAAGTGGATAAAAATCTCAGACCCCACACTCTCTTGTAATACTCAAAACACACTGGAAAGAATTGGTTAGAAAGGTAATTTGATGATTTGACTGAATTTTTGTTCTCTAGTCCACCAGTTCTTCTGTGTTATAGAAAACTGAGATTCAAAGTAGTGTAACTTTAAAAGTCACACAGCCATGTCCCTGGCTGAAGGCTATTTTAGCTAGGAGGGCTGCAAGTTGAAGAAGGAATTAGCTGTGTGTGTTCTTCTGCTGCTAAAGAAGCTCACACAGAGGGACTGCAGCAGACAAGTTATCAATTAATCCATCTTTGTAGACAATGTTCTAAGCGTGAAGGTGAGAATTATTGAGTCATTCCTCTCCCAGCTGAAAACCCTAGTTTAATTCAGTCATAATTAAGTTTCCTCTTCACAAACACAGAAAGAGAACAAAGAAAACAGCAGAAGTAAAGAAAAAGCTGTGCATGCTACCACAAAGCTTTTTTTAACACACACAGTTACAAAGTTCTGTGCCATTTTATAACTGTCAAATCTTAATTAAAATACTACATTTCTGACTCACAGTGCTGTAGGATGCACGTATATTATTCACATGAATATTAATCTCTTTCCAGGTAGGAGGCTGAATTGCTCAGGGGATTTATAATCACATCACATATGGAAACTTGTTGGGTGTCTTTTTTCTTTCCCTTTTTCTTTTCTTTCTTAAAATTTTCAGCCAAATCATTAACAATTAAGAGTCATAAGAACCATTTCAGTAGTCTGTGAAAGGGATTCAGTAGCTCAGATAAGTGAGGTGGAGCTCCATGTTTATTAATGAAATTATATTGTGCATTGATGAAGGGAAACTTTGAAAAGAGCTGGAGGCATCACTTCAGACATTAAGGACATAAGCATTTGTGCTACTCATTAGAACGTAAGAGGAGGACAGTCCTCTTGAAAGCTTCTAGGTAATGAAAAAAGTGGGGAAGATGTTAATGGGGTAATTGGAGAAATGAGACATGATATTTTCTAACAACAGAATCACCTGCTTAGACTATCATCACAGGGACCTTCCAAATTCTGATATGTATTTGGATAGTCTGTGTTGGCATCACTGACTTCTCCAGGAGTATCCTGATGCTGATGCATAAGGCGCAGAAAGCAATTAGCATAGATGTTCTTCTGGATGTGAGCAAAAGTACAAAGAGAAATGAGGATGCAATGCATCTGAGAAAACTGATGGTCCTCCTGGTATCTTGGAAGGATAGGAATTGCATAAGCTAGAAAAATACTATGTAATTCAAGAACACAAACTAATAAAAACTCAGAAAATCATTAGAGTTCATGAGAAGCAGGCCCAGAGGACCACGAGTTCAGGAAGCTATTAATGGCTAATGAAATGGCATTAACAGACTAAAATCACAAGCTACCCCACTGAAGGGGAAGGAGAGGACATTCAATGAGAGAACTGTCAAAAAAAAAAAAATCACAAGCACTTCAGGGGGCTTGAACCTTCAACTACAAGATACCTTCTTGATGAAGTTTTTGAGGACAAGCATGACTGTATAGAAAAGAAATGAGAAGGCTGAAGCACAAAACTCAACACCTAGCAGTGAACACACAATGCAACAAAAAAAACACAGTTGCTACACACATTTGAGGGCGCCCTAATTGCTTCAGGTCTTCATTGACAGGGACAACTGCAGTCAAGCAGCTGACAGAATTAATACTGCTCTTAAGAAAAAAACAAAAAAGAAAGAAGTTTAACAAGTTACAAGAACAGGCTTCAGCAAAGGAAAAAAATGAAAGCAAACTGAAAAGGTAGTTATTTCTAAGTCAGATGGCTATGGTCAATCTTCATCCTCAGATTCTAGGTTGCAACACTGATAATCACAAAGCACTGAAAACTAGAAAAAACAAGCGATGTACTTGAAGATAGGAAAAGGGCAAAGCAAGCATTTATGCTTAAAAAATAGGAAAAGGAGGACTTGGATAACTGTGAAAGCACTAACTTGACTTTTTCCCTCCCCTCCTGGGAGCTGAGACTGGAACAAATAATCAAATTATTTGCAAATCTTCTAGAACATAAAAAGGAGAGAAATAACAGTGAGCATGTTTTCATCAGGAGTATAACTGTGTCAAATGCATTTAACTTCCTTCTAAGACAAGGTAAATTAGTCTTAGGGATAGGAGAAGAACAGTAGAAGTTTTATATCCTGAGGTTCAGATGAAACTGCTATAATAGATGCAAACACACTTGAGAAAATTGTACTCAGGGTAGCCAAACTCAAAGAACGTATCAATTTGAGCCCCCCGGGTAGCTTTGGTAGCAGAGTGCCTGGCAGCTTGGGTACTACAAAACTTTTTCACATACAACTTGAAGATTTTGTAGGCACAAAAGGAAGAGATAGACAGCAATGTGCTTAAGGAATGAAAAAAAAAACAACCAACAAACCCAACAATTCCAAGTGCAAAGCTATATTTAGCTGTAATCCAACACAGGTTAAGCTAGAGAACAGCTGATAAATCACTTTTTCAGAAAGAACTTCAGCTCTGGAAAGGGTAAGAGGCTATCTATGTATCAGTGTTAGTGTGCGATAAAAAGGCATCATCACAGCAGGATATCATATCTTGGGATAGCAGGATCACAGCTTAAAGAACAAAGGCTTCATTGCACTGTAGGGAACATGGTCAGGCTCTTAGCTGGGTTTCTACATTCAGCTTTGGAAACTGCAATTAAGGGAAAGCAAAGAAAGAAGAAAGGAAAAAAGACTGATTAAAGAGCATGTAAAACAAAACTTCACAAGAAAAGGTTAAAAGAAAACAGGTCACTTAGTGAATGTGAGAAGAAGGAGGAGGGCATTTCCACCCCTCTTTGCAGCAGCCCTTCAGTACTGCAGAGAGTAAGGGAATTGGTTCTTCTCCTTTACTCCTTGTCCTAATCATGAGAAATTTATTTTTGCAGCATAAGAGAGATCTACAGCAGAGGTTAGGAAAAGCCTTTGAACAGTAAAGACAGCTAAACCCTGGAGCAGGCTTAGAATCTTAGAACAGTGAAGACTGGAAGGGACACCTCACACTACAGAAGGCTGCACATGGCTTCTGGAAAGCTTTTTTTAAGGGAATTTCGGATCAATAGTTGTTGGGAGTGGTCAAGGCAAATAAAAAACCATGACATTCTGCTATCATAACTAAACCAGTCTTCTGCAACAGTCATGTTGCCTGTCTTCTTTCCAATTCAGCAGAAACACAAAGATTGATGCTGAACCCCCTTATACTCTTACAGAAAAAAGAAAGAGAGATATCCAGGGAGAGGTATCACTGAATCTCTTGCCCCTTCCAGTATGTTTGTGCACTTGTTTTCCATAAGGCACTGACACTGTTTTGCTTGCACGTTCCACAAAACCACAACAGAAGTTTTCTTCTTAGATATTAGCAGTGCTCTTAAATTTCATTTTCCATGTCATAATGACAGTTTTCACCTGAATCCCTTCTGCTCAGAAGTTAAGCAACACAGTAATTTTCAGATGGAAAAGAATTTACAACCCAGATGAGCCAAGGGAAAAACAGTTTCTGCTATGGCACTTCAGATGCCTCCGAAGACACACACATGAGAAAACCATAATTTTTCCTAAAAATCTGAAAAAAATCCAGAAGAGAAAGAAATGTTCTACTGATAGACAGATACTGTAAGATAATTTCTTATTAAAAAAAAAAAACAAGAGCACTATAGAAGAATGCAGTATTTCTAAATAAAATATATTAACTCTGCACTTTGGGAAGTAGGCAACAGTTTATCATCTATAAGAATATGAACACCATATGTTATCTTTCTATGGACATACAGATGGATGAAAGCATAAGATTTCTTTTGAGAAAAAAACCCCACAACTTTTTGGGTCTTAATCGCTGTTTTCTAAAACAAGACTGTTTATACTGTTGAAAAAAATGTCACCACCTTTTTACTTTTGACTTCCCAAATCAAGATTATTTATTTTTAAAATCTTACTTTCATGAGATGGAAATACCAAGACTAATTATATACCCACTTTCAATTAGTATATATAAAAATATTTGATGTAAAGTTTCCCAAGGAACATTTTCACACGACAAATAATATCGATGCCTCCTACTATGCTAACAAGCTATCGAGTTGCCTTGACAAAAAGTCTTAATTTTGAACAGTTTAACACAAACCATTTAGTCCCAGACATTATTGTTACTATTTACAAATTCAGAGCTAATTTCTCTGCTACTGCCTATTTTCTGATATTAATCCTCAGTTCCATACAGTAATGTTCAAAAATGTTTGGTAGAATTAGATAGCTCTAAAACCATCAGTACATGCTGCAGTCTTATACATTTGATTACGTTTTGTCTGCAAAATATTGAAACTACAAGAGGTGCTTTACAAGGAAGAAGAAATGAAACCTTCAGCTAAAGATCTAAAACCCAAGTAGCAAAGAGAAGGAGTGAAGCAATACTCCATCCTACCTCCTGAAGCTGCAGACGAACTTTGTTAATGGCTCTAATCCAATGGGCTCTTGCTGGAGGAAATGGTGGTGGCTCGATGTCACCATTGTAGCTTAAAGACAAGAAACAGAAAATCATTAAATGAAAAACACTCATCTGTAGAATCAAAGATTCAGCATTACACAATGCAATCACAGCTGCACAGCTGCAGCTCTGGAAGCTGAAGTAGCCAAGAGGCTCAGCTCAGCACAGCCCTGCACTTGCTCTGGGAAGCAAGAAGCTAAAGTAAAGGATTCCTTATGCACAGGAACCATGTTTGAAAATTATATAAGCTAGGATACAATCCAGCCTCAGGAGTAAGATCCTGTTGGTCAAAACATCAGGCAAGCAGTCCAAGATACCTGATCAGGTCAGTTCAACACGCTGGTATCATAAATGCAGATGAAAGATTTTCCATACCCACTCCTGTTGTGGGTCCTTTCTGATCATTGTCTCTTCCTACTCAACCCTACTGCTAAGAATTTACAGCCCTCTTCAGTGGAAACACTGGCAGGGTTCAGCTGTGGTTTTCCTTGCTCATTGCACCTTTCTCACTCCACTCTTTC